CCACAGAAGGAGCAATGCAAAGACCTTCTTCCTTCAGGTTCCCCAACATATCTAATGCACCACCCTGCTGGCAGGACTTTTGCCTAGAAGAGATGGCTGAGAGTGAGTCTTACTTCCTGTCTCTGTCTCACTTCTCTTTGCTGCAAATCTTCCCTTGGCCAAAAGAGATGATCTTTTTCCCCTTTGTCACATTCTTCTCAAGGTACGAAGTCTTCCCTCAGATCTTATCCTGAATGCTGTCTATCCTTGGCATTTGGTAACTTCCATAACAAAGTCAACATGAAGCTTAAAAGAATTTAGAAAATTTATAGTCTTTTGACAAAGCTTGGATTTCAGAATTATTATCATTATTATTATTATTATTTTGCTGCAGACTCAAAATATTTGCTTTGGACATTAAATACTGCATATTGAAACCCTCTTTATTTTTGCATTCCAGTTATAATCCTAACACCTTGAGCAGAATAACCAAAGATCACTCATTAAAAAAAGTAAAAGAGGCCGGGCGCGGTGGCTCAAGCCTGTAATCCCAGCACTTTGGGAGGCCGAGGCGCGTGGATCACGAGGTCAAGAGATCGAGACCATCCTGGTCAACATGGTGAAACCCCGTCTCTACTAAAAATACAAAAAAATTAGCTGGGCATGGTGGTGCGTGCCTGTAATCCCAGCTACTCAGGAGGCTGAGGCAGGAGAATTGCCTGAACCCAGGAGGCGGAGGTTGCGGTGAGCCGAGATCGTGCCATTGCACTCCAGCCTGGGTAACAAGAGCGAAACTCCGTCTCAAAAAAAAAAAAAAAAAAAAAAAAAAAAAAGTAAAAGAGGAAAAACTCATTAATATACACCAAAATATTGAAAATATTCCCAATACAATATTGATTTGGAGAAAACATTAACTATAGCAAAATTTCATTAATATGCACTGAATGGTGGAGTCAGTCTGGATTTGCAAAATTTTTAAGTTATTGACTATTACTAAAGGGAAATAACATGAAAATATGTAGAAAGAAAATAAAATATTATTAAAGATGAGAAAGGGGGCTGGGCACGGTGGCTCATGCCTGTAATCCCAGCATTTTGGGAGACTGAGGCAGGCGGATTACGAGGTCAAGAGATCGAGACCATGGTGAAACCCCATCTCTACTAAAAAAATACAAAAATTAGCTGGGTGTGGTTGCGTGTGCCTGTGGTCCCAGCTACTTGAGAGGCTGAGGCAGGAGAATTGCTTGAACCTGGAAGCCAGAGGTTGCAGTGAGCCGAAATTGTGCCACTGCACTCTTGCCTGGCACCTGACGACAGAGCAAGACTCTGTCTCAAAAAAAAAAAATTAAAAAGAAAAAGATGAGAAAGGGACAACTATTATTGGGCATTTGGAAGGGCTGGGCTCTACGTGTCTTGTAGAGTGCTATATTTTATGTGTATATGTTGATATACATACATATTACACATATATTACATGCATATGTTAAGATCTTTACATATACAAGCCAATTTATCTTTACAACCTATTTTACAGAAGAGTGAACAACACTGAAAGATTAACAACTTGCCCAGTATCAAGAAGTTGGTAAGTTGTTTTGCTAGGTTTGCCTAAGGCCCCACGTATAACTTTCATAAAATTCATCTTTTAAAAAAATAAATTCTATGAAAAGAAGATAATTAACCAATAAATGAAGAGAATATAATTAGTACATTTTATATAGAAATGACCATTCTTGATATTTTCTTATTCACCTAGTATTACATAAAAATTTTCCATTGCTTATTTTTCAAACAAACACTTCATACATTTTATAATGAAAGTTTTAGCCACTGGTTTACCTAGCTATTCAGAAAGTTTACCCTATAAGGATTTGCCTTAATGCATTTTACGCTATGATTTACACAGAATTATATACAATCTTTCCTTATTATATTTGTCATTTAGTCTACTTTCTCTATGCACTTTGTAATTACAAGGTGTCAAAATATTTAGTCAATTCGCTAGAAATTTAGAACAAAAACAGTCAACGGTCACTCGGCTTCACTTAACCATATAGCCTCCTAAACTGATTGGACTGACAAAATGTAGAAAAAAATGAGTTTTCAGACACTGTATTTAATAATAAGATATTTAGAAACAAAATATGTGTGCAAATGTAAATGACTGGTTTTGGAATAAAAGGCATACTATTCAATACAAGCCGACATCTTAGATTACAGGTAACTTTTGAAAACTGAAACTAGAAAAATCAAAATTTAAAAATAACCAACTATAGCAAGCTATTTAAAATTTTTGAAATAGATAAAATGGCAATAAAAGAGGGACTTTAAAAAACTTTATTAAATCTAGTCCTTAGATTTTTTTTCTCTTTTGACAGTCTCACTCTGTTGTCCAGGTTGGTGTGCAGTGACACGATCCCGGCTCACTGCAACCTCCATCTCTTGGGCTCAAGAGATTCTACTGCCTCAGCCTCCCCAGTAGCTACAATACAGGCAGGTGCCACCATGCCCAGCTAATTTTTGTATTTTTAGTAGAGATGGGGTTTTGTCATGTTGCCAGGCTAGTCTCGAACTCTTGACCTCAAGTGATTGCCTACTTTAACCTCCCAAAATGCTGGAATTAAAGGCATGAGCCACTGGACCTGGTCTTAGATCTTTATTTCTAATACCATTCTCAAATTAAAGGAACCAAAGAGTCCTTGAAGAAATGGCTGATTCCAGGACTGGGTCAAGGAATGTACACGATGAGCCTAAAGCATCGTGTAGTGCTAGAAGGTAAGAAAGTCCTTAAAACCACACATGCTTATAATGGTAAGGGTATGACAAAGGAACATAGGAGCCAAATGAAAGAGCTAATGGCCAAAGCTGGAACAATTTGAACAATAAAATAAAGTAGTATAGAATTGTAACCCAAATGTAAAATAAATATCTATGAGCCCATAGTGACTAAATGATTGAATAAATAAATAACTAATTGGAGGAGAAGAAGAAACACATTTGTCATGCAGAAGAATTACAAATAATTTATGAAAATAGGCAGGGTACAGTGGCTCACGCCTGTAATCCCAGTACATTGGGAGGCCCAGGTGGCTTATCGCTTGAGGCCTGGAGTTTGAGAGTAGCCTGGCCAACATGGCAAAAATCTGTCTCTACTTAAAATACAAAAATTACCAGGGCATGGTGGTGCACACCTGTAGTCCCAGCTACCTGGGAGGCTGAGGTGGGAGAATCACCTCAGCCCAGCAAGTGGAGGCTGCAGTGAGCCATGATAGCACCACTGCACTTCATCCCGGGTAACAGAGTGAGACCCTGTCTCAAAAATAAATTATAAATATACTCAACCCAAAAGTGATGAAGCATAGCTCTCCACTCCTTAAGTGTGGGCCTTGTGTAGTGTTCCCCTTCCAAAGGGCACTGTGTAGAAACAGGGATAAATAGTAGTTTTATAATGAAGACTGACAAACACTACCTCAGCCTGGTGATCAGGGTTACGTCAACAGTGATAATTAATGTGTACAAAATGTACCTTTGATATGACGTCATGAAAACGGCACTTGACTTCTGTGGTCTCCTTCCCTAAAACCCATAACCCGTTCTACAATGGACCTCACCAGTACTCCTCAAAACTGTCAAGGTCATCAAAAGTAAGAAAAGTCTGAAAAACTGTCACAGCAAAGGGGAGCCTAAGGAGACATGACTACAAATGCAACCGAACATCCTAGATGGGATCCTGGACCAGAAAAAATACATTAGGTAAGAACTAAAGACATCTGAATAAAGTATGGATTTTAGTTCATAATAACATATCAATATTTGTTTGTTAATTTTAACAAATGTGCCATACTACTTTAAGGTATTAATAATAAGGAAAACTGGATGTAAATTCTCTGTATGATCTTCACATATTTTTCTGTAAATCTAAAACTATTCTAAAACGCTAAGTTCCTTTTTAAAAAAGAAACTATAAGTGGATATGATATTGCATAGCATATTTCTAGATCCAACTACTAGTATTCAGGAAACACATAGGACTGAAAACATACTATACTATACCATGGGATACACTCAGTAAAATCTAGGCTGTAGAAAAGGCCACAGGACAATGACCCAGTTTCTTCAACAAATAAATTGCAAGAGGGAAAAAAAAAAGGTGAAGATTAAAATAGAATGAAGGGGCATGTTAACTGATCACAATTTGGTTGCTGATTGGGCCTTATTTCGTTACTGATTGAAACAAACTGCAAAAAAATGATAAAATTACAAAACAATTGGAAATCTGGATACACACCGAATATTTAATGATATTAAGCAATTATTGTTAATTTTATTTGGGGTGTGATGATGCTATTGTGATTAATTTTTGAAGAATCCTATCTTTTTTAAAGATATATATTAAAATACTTAAGAATTAAGTTATAGATATCAGATGTTTGTTCCAAAATAACAGGGCGTAGAAGAGGGATGGGTGGGAGTACAGATGAAGCAAGACTGGCTATGAGTTGCTAATTGTTGAAACTGGGTTAGGTGTACGGGGATTCATGATACTACTCCATATGCCTATTCACAGGTTTAAAATTTTCCATAATAAAAAATTAAATAAGATAAACGTACAGAGTGCAAATAATGACCTAATAAACCTTACTGTATAGTACTCTACCTGTAAATAGTAAAGTGTTTTCCACCTACACATCACTAATTTTCAAAATAGCAGTTTGAAGATAGAAAGTGACATTTAAGCTGCATGTACAGGAAGGCAAAAATCTACTGGTTGATTTGATTAATTCAGACAAAGAGCTAGTCAATTTAGAAGAGGGAAAAAAAAAACTCAAACTGTTCATTTTGCTGAGTTCACTGAATAGTACTTTGTATAGTAACATTTACATAATAAGTGATTAATATTTGCTGGTCAATAGATTACTGAATTTAATATTTGTCTGGCACCTTAATGAAGACATGATTTGACTGTCAACAAAAACTACAAAAGAACTCAGAAACAAAGTAAAAGTCACAAGGTCCAGCTCTAGGTAAAACTGCGAAGGCAATATTTATTTTCCAAATATTTATGTGCAATGAACATCACTGTAAACACACATAACCTAAGTTGATGATAAGCACCATAGCATGAAACTATAATTAAATTAAGTTTTGATAAAATTCTATCAAAAGTTAGAACAATATAGATCTGTGCTGAAGTGGTATTTCAATTATTTACATACTATTTTTTAAAGCCTAACATAAGGACCTTAATGTATACAACTCTCTAAAATTTACAAAGCACTTTCATGTTGCAGTATATCATGTTACTACATTTTGGAAATCAGACAAAAATTGGTAATATTATCTGTGTTTATCAGGTAGAAACCAGGCTCTGGGAGGCCTCTTAGTGTTCCCATTGCCAGAAGCATAGAAATGGAGACTGAAACCCAGGTGTTCTGGCATCAAGTCCAGTGCACTTAGCTATCTCTCAGGAGGAAATTCATAATATATTCTTACTGCTTCTACTTGGGTTATAGTGGAAAGAAGGTTGACATGAATAAACATCTTTAGGAACACAACCTTCTCTTTTGCCAATCTCTAGTATTTAAATCATGTCCATAAACTAGTGCTTCCTCTCAATGACTGTATATTATTAATAGTCAATATTCTGGGCAAGGTAATGCTCCATTAGTATCACATCCTGTTTGTTCAGTGATGAACAGCTGAGATCCAGAAATTAAGCTCTTTGAGAATGCTAAATATTCTTCTCAACATTATCAAATCCTTTGATGTCGAAAAAATGAATATGCATTAAAGTATACTAAATATTGTATAATAACTTTGCAATGCCAATTAATATGAAGTTCATCATTCTGGTCCATTATTTGGCAAATGGCCTTATTCTTCCACAGTGTCTTTCTCCAGGAGGACTTCTATTCCTCCTCAGTAGATTTAGTTTATTTATTTATCACACTTTCACTCCTGCTTGAATCCATTTCCAGCCTATTTTATGTGCAAAAAAGCCCATTCATAATAGTTTAAGTGACTGTTTTTCTCACCACATTAATAACTATTTCTAAAGTATTTTAAACAATGTTTTGGAATCAGTCCATCACTTGCTTTTGCAGAGACTATATCTTTTTCTAACTTCCCCCAAATGACTTGCCTTTGTTTTTAATTAAGGGCTCTTCTTACGGTTTCTTCCTGAGTATCCCCTTCGGAGCTAGACAGATACTTGTTTTGCACAGCAGTCTGTCCAGCCAATAATAAAAACATGGGCATGCATTATAACAAAGTTTAAGTGGATTTAATCAGAATGCAGTTTAACAGTTCAAATACGTCCACATTTCAAAGACCATAGAAGAACTTAACATTATATGCTCAGTTTCAGCAATATGAACAAACAAAATTGTTAAACTGTATCAACAGAAAATAAGAGTACTTCCAAAATAATTTCCCTGATTCGCTACAAACAGTTTGATCATACTGGAGAATGTGACTCATAGGATTGTCAAAGAGTATTGTGCCACTTTACCTCACGCAGAATAATCAGACTAAGAGAACCTAAAATGTCACTTCACAAACACAAGTTGAGGAAATGGAAAGAGATAAACTGGGCTGAAAAAAGAATGCCTGTTGGATCACGGCAGAGTGGGTGATTCATTGCCCTGCTTCACCAAGTGTATTACCATAGAAGTAGTAGCTCGAAGCAACACAGATTTATTAACTTACAGTTCTGTAGGTCAGAAGTTCAGCAAGAATCTTACGAGACAAAAATCAATGTGTCGGCAGGGCTCTGTTTTTTCTGGAGGCCAGCTCAGCAGGTCCAATCTCACTGACTCTTCTGTCATCTCTGGCCACAGTCAGGACAGGGACTCTGTTTTCAGGGATTTGCAGTATTAGATTAAACCCACCTGGATATTGCAGGATAATTTCCCCATCTCAAAGTCCATAACCCGAATCACATTTAGAGAGTAACTTTGCCATGTAAGGAACATAGTCACAGGTTCTGGGGATTAGGGTGTGGATTACTTTGTGAACCATTATCCTGCCTACCACACCAAGTAAAGAGAAGAATGATAGAGACTTGGGGTGCAGGCTCTTTCTGGCCTCCATCTTTCAACGTTTCCTCATGTCTTATCCTACGGACTGGATCTGGACCTAACAGGAATGAGCCTCACCACATTTTAACCCTCTTTACTGTTTACTGTCAGCTCATCTGGCTTTAAAACCACATCATCCATAATTTACTCCATTATTCTCAACAATAATATCTAGAAGTCTGGAAAATATATGAAATAAGTTATTTTTTATGTTAGCTGAAAAAATAAGCATTAATTCTTAGGAAAAATCTTGCATCTACACATCAGCCATCCTCTGGAGCCAAGGGCAGGTGGCATATATTTTTTCCAAAATTAAACATACTCATTACAATACTATCACAAAGCAGGTCATCATATATTTAACAATAGCAGCCAATTTGGATTCTTTAGATAAATAAAATTTGAATAGATAGGTTTCTTCAGAGAAGGACTTCCAGTGATTCCTACCTTCCTTGCAGTTTTTAAGTGAACTAGGTGACCTCAAGAGGCCAGAAGATTATCTTATCATGTTCTCAGGTCCAAACAAATAACTGATTCTCTATTTATTTAAAAAAATACAGTATCTTATTTTAAAAGAACAGTACTAATTCAAGTTTTGAAGTTAAGTATATATATTTTACCAAAATTTTATTAATGAATAAAGTTAGGTTGTTCTTACATCACTTAAAGTAAAAGCAAAATCAAATTTACCTTGAAGCTAATTAAATTTAAGCTTCAAACCCTCCAATTTTTTTTTTTTTTTTTTTTTTTTGAGACGGAGTTTCGCTCTTGTTACCCAGGTTGGAGTGCAATGGCCCGATCTCGGCTCACCGCAACCTCCGCCTCCTGGGTTCAGGCAATTCTCCTGCCTCAGCCTCCTGAGCAGCTGGGATTACAGGCATGCGCCACCATGCCCAGCTAATTTTTTGTAGTTTTAGTAGAGACAGGGTTTCACCGTGTTGACCAGGATGGTCTCGATCTTTTGACCTCGTGATCCACCCGCCTCGGCCTCCCAAAGTGCTGGGATTACAGGCGTGAGCCACTGCGCCCGGCCCCAAACCCTCTAATTTTTATTAGCACTATTTGACGATATTTTTCTAAAGATGATCATAAAGATTGCATAGGTTTCAGGCTCTGTAAAATTGGGTCCACCTACCACTAGCGGAAGGAGTTTTCTTTCTGAATTACGTGTTTAACAATCATAATATTTTCTTAAAAAATGTATAACTGGCCATATTATTTTAATGTTTTCTATCTCTCAGGTGTGATAAACTTGATTGTTCACAGTTCTTTATTCCTCTCTACCTTTGTCATGTTTTCCTGTGGTGCAATCAATTTCCTCGCCAACTGACTTTGGAATTTCTTTGCCAATGGAATGTGAGTGGATGAGAAGTATGCTATGTCCCAGCAGAAAAATGCAATGCCCTTGTAGGGAGTGGCTCTGCCCCCTCAGCCCTCTGCCCTTCTTAGTATTACATGCTCCAAATAGCGGCTACTGCTTTAACCTGGTTCCCAGATTAAGAAGACATAGAGCCTAGCCACGGTTGGCACAAACCCAAACAACCTACTCCCCTCCTATAATGTGAGCAATAAATACATGTGTTTGCACTGAGATTTGGTTATTATTTGTTACTGCAGCAAAAGCCAGGGTGATTGCCATTCTACTTACTTTTTCATTTCACCATAAGATGTCTATCTTTCTGTCTGTCTGTCTATTATTTATCTTTCCAAACTAGTATTTTCCTGGGTTTGCAGTATGCATATTATGCTCTTTGATTGCCTCTAACTAGCATACTTATTAATGGTTGCCAAGGACTGAGTCATTAAGCGCATACCCTTCTCTTCCCTGGAGACAGTCCATTGTAAGCATTTTTTTTAAAGTAAATTGGCAGGTATACATGAAGAAGGAAGCTTACATCACTGGGGACTTTCGATCTCAAGCCTGTACTACACACTCACCATTTTCTGAAAATGCAAAATCTATCTCTGTCTTTTTCTTGAAGTTTTAAAATAAAATAAGTGAGGGGATTTTTTTCTGCCTAATTATTTTTAATTATGCCCCTATAGGATTAGTGGAAATTTCCCCCACTTGTTTATCTGAAAACACGTTATGTGAAGTGAGGCTATGTCCCCTGATGAGCACTATTTACATTTTAAAGTATATAAACATGAATCTCTTCTGCCGAGCCTCTCCAATGTGGCCAAATTAATGTCATTTCAATTTTTGCATTTCTACTAAATTTCCCCAATCAGTGATAACAGATGTTATTTTTGCATGTGAGTTTATTAAATATATTATTTCCTTAAACACACAAGTTATCAAAAAATCTATCCCTTCCCTGAAAGGTGCTGTGATTCTCAACTTTCAACTTATGGCCAGGCACAGTGGCTCACACCTGCTATCCCAGCACTTTGGGAGGCCAGGCGGGTGGCTCACCTGAGGTCAGGAGTTAAAAGGCCAGCCTGGCCAACATGGTGAAACCCCTATTTCTACTAAAAATGCAAAAAATTAGCTGGGCATACTGGCACATGCCTGTAGTCCCAGCTAGTGGGGAGGCTGAGGCAGGAGAATTGCTTGAACCCAGGAGGCGAGGTTGCAGTGAACCAAGATTGCTCCATTGCACTCCAGCCTGGGCAATAAGAGCAAAGCTCTGTCTCAAAGAAAAAAAACAAAAAACAAAAACCTATGAACCCTTCTGACTATAAGAGATGTATGACCCTTGAGACATCATAACACAGGTGTAGAAAACCCCATTCTTGGTAAGACAAGCTATCCTTGAAAAACAGCAAGATATTCTCTTATTTTACAATGACTTTGATGAGTCTGACTGAATGTGCATCCCCTGGTTCTGTTTCCAATATTCCTACATCTGAATTGTAAATAAAGCTTTATTTAAAAAAGCTTTTTTAGAAGTAACCAATTGCAGTTATATAAAACCTTAATGCTATTTAAAACAACTTAAATTTAAGCAAAGAAAAAGAGCAAAACAATAAGTTGATATTAAATAAATTAGGTTTAAAAATAATCCAGGATGTGGAGAATGCCAGAATATGTTTTTGCCTCTTTTTGGTGTGAGTTCAATTTATCCTGACAGTAAGATAAAAATGTCCAAAACAGGGGAAGAAGGCTTTCAAGTGCTATCATACTATAAATTGTAGTAGCTAATCAGCATATGTTGAGACAATACACTGTACCAAGCTAAAGAAATGTGCTTTTTTTCAGGGGATAAGAAAATGGAAAAAGACACTTTGGAACATTGCATGGATATCTAAACTTAGGTTAGGTTGATATTTATTTGGATTTAACTGTAAAGAGAACTCATTTAATTGCTTGACTGTATTATTTCTTATATTAATCTGAATGCTTCTTTAGCAAATAAGACTTTTACTTCTTTTAGGTTGTGACTAGTGGAGTGCATAAGGTCACCTGTGAAGCTGAAGCTGACTTTGTCTTGGTGGGAACAGTGGCATATGCCCAACCAGGCACAGGAGGCTTCGGCCAAGTACTTCTTTCTAAATTTTCATTTCTTCACCTATAAACAGAGAGGATAATGTCTCCATCACGAGATTGCTGGAGAATTTAACAAAATTCTGGAAGTAAATTGTAGTGTACTGAATGATTAGCCAATAGCCCTCAACATTGAGGCAAGACCCTGTACCAACAAAAAGATTAAGACTTACTGAAGGCTCAGATGATTATTAGCATTTTTAAGTAATAAAGTAGTTTTTAATTAAAGCACGTAAATTGTTGTTTTTAGACAAAACGCTATTGCACACTTAATAAGCTATAGGACAAACATAACTTTTTTATGTACTGAGAAACAAAATTTGTGTGACTGGCTTTAATGCAATATTTGCTTTATTGTAGTCTGGAGCTACATATGCAATATTTCTGAGGTATGCCTGTACCATGAAATTTACCTGTTTAAGTGTACAATTCCATTGTTTTTATATATTTGCAGAGTTGTGTATATATATAAATAATCACAAACTAATTTTCATCATCCAGAAGAGAAGCCTCATACCTATTAAGAGTCATTCCCAGATGATCCAAGATGGCCGAATAGGAACAGCTCCAGAGTGCAGTTCCCAGCAAGAACAACGCAAAGGGTGAGTACTCACTGCATTTCCAAACAAGTTTTCACTGCCCACAGACCAGGAGATTCCCAGGCCAAAAAGTGCCACAAGTTTTCAGCAGGGCTGGTGCCATAGGTTGGCACACAGAAACTCACACAAATCTGGGTGGGCATTTCAACTGAATGCCTGGGAGAAAGAGCCACCCATTCAACTGAAAGGGATGGGGCTGAGACAGGGAGCCAGGAGATCTGGCTCGGTGGGTACCACCCCTACAAAACAAGCAATCTGAAACACTCTGGATTGAGAGTTTCACAGCAAGCACAGCTGGACCTGGAGGGTTCAGCTCAGTTGGGGGAAGGGTGTCTGCTGCTACTGAGGCAGTTCACACAGCAGCTGGGGAGAGCCTGAGGCAGCTCAGCAACACCTCTGCTGGCAGACTGTGACTAGACTACTCCATGAAGGGCAGGGCATCTATGAAAAAAGGCAGCAGCATGACAGGAACTTATAAATAAAGCTGATCTTCCTGGGTCAGAGCACCTGGGAACAGAGGCAGTGATGAGTTCAACTGTAGGAGACTCAAAGGTACCTGCCCAGCAGCTAGGCTCAGAGCAACGGAGCTCCCAGCACAGCTCTTGAGCTCCTTTAAGGGACAGACTGTCTCCTGAAGCAGCCCCCTGACCACGATATACACAAAGAGACACCTCATAAAGGAGAGCTCAGGCTGACATCTGGTGGGTACCCTTCTGGCACGACGATAACAGAAGAAGAAACCAGCAGTGACCCTTACTATTCTGCAGCCTCTGTGGGTGATCGCCAGGCAAGCAGGGTCTGGAGTGGACCTACAGTTGTCCTGCAGCAGAAGGGACTGACTGTTAGAAGGAAAACTAAGAAGCAGGAAGAAATAGCTTCAACATCAACAAAAAGGATGTCCACTCAGAGACCCTATCCGAAAGTCACCAACTACAAAGACTACAGGTAGATAAAGCCACTAAGATTGGAAAAAAACAAGTGCAAAAAGGATGAAAACACCAAAAACCAGAACACCTCTCCTCCTCCAAGGGATCACAGCTCCTCACCAGCAAGGGATCAAACATGCATGGAGAATGAATCTGATGAATTGACAGAAACAGGCTTCAGAAGGTGGGTAATAACAAACTTCTCAGAGCTAAAAGAACATGTGCTAACCCAATGCAAAGAAACTAAGAACCTAGAAAAAAGGTTAGATGAGATGCTAACTAGAATAAACAGCTTAGAGAAGAATATAAACAACTTGATGGAGCTGAAAAACACAGCACGAGAATTTCATGAAGCATACACAAGTTTGTATAGCTGAATCAATCAGGCAGAAGAAAGGGTATCAGAGACTGAAGATCAACTCAATGAAATAAAACGAGAAGACAAGAATAGACAAAAAAGAGTGAAAAGAAATGAACAAAGCCTCCAAGAAATATGGGATTATGTGAAAAGACCTAATCTATGTTTGATAGGTGTACCTGAATGTGACGGAGAGAATGAATCCAAGCTGGAAAACACTCTTCAGGATATTATCCAGAACTTCCCCAACTAGCAAGGCAGGCTACCATACAAGTCCAGGAAATACACAGAACACCACAAAAGATATTCCTCAAGAAGAGCAACCCCAAGGCACATAATGGTCAGATTCACCAGGGTGGAAATGAAGGAAAAAATGCTAAGGGCAGCCAGAGAAAAAGGTCGGGTTACCCACAAAGGGAAGCCCATCAGACACACAGCAGATCTCTCGGAAGAAACCCTACAAGCCAGAAGACAGCGGAGGCCGATATTCAACATCCTTAAAGAAAAGAACTTTCAACCTAGATTTTCATATCCAGCCAAAATAAGCTTCTTAAGTGAAGGAGAAATAAAATCCTTACAAACACGCAATTTCTGAGAGATTTCATCACTACCAGGCCTGCCTTACAAGAGCTCCTGAAAGTAGCACTAAACAAACATAGGAACAACCAGTACCAGCCACTCCAAAAATGCACCAAATGGTAAGGACCATTGACATAATGAAGGAAATGCATCAACTAATACACAAAACATCCAGCTACCATCAAAATGGCAGGATCAGATTCACACATAACAATATTAATCTGAAATGTAAATAGGCTAAATGCCCCAATCAAAAGACAAAGACTGGTAAATTGGATAACAAGTCAAGACCCATCAGGGTGCTGTATTGAGGAAACCCATCTCACATGCAAGGACACACAGGCTAAAATAAAGGGATGGAGGAAGATTCATCAAGCAAATGGAGAGCAAAAAAAAAGCAGGAGTTGCAATCCTAGTCTATGATAAAATGGACTTTAAATCAAGAAAGATCAAAAGAGACAAAGAAGGGCATTACATAGTGGTAAAAGGATCAATGCAGCAAGAAGAACTAACAATCCTAAATATATATGCACCCAATAAAGGAGCACCCAGCTACATAAAGCAAGTTCTTAGAGACCTGCAAAGAGACTTAGACTCCCACACAATAATAGAGGGAGACTTTAACACTCCACTGTCAATATTAGACAGATAAATGAGACAGAAAATTAACAGGGATATCCAGGACTTGAACTCAGATCTGGACCAAGAGGACGTAATGGACATCTACAGAAATCTCCACCCTAAATCCACAGAATATACATTCTTCTCAGAACCGCATTGCACTTACTCTAAAACTGACCACATAATTGGAAGTAAATCACTCCTAAGCAAATGCAAAAGAATGAAAATCATAACAATCAGTCTCTCAGACCACAGGGCAATCAAACTAGAACTCAGAATTAAGAAACTAACTCAGAACTGCACTTCATGGAAACTGAACAACTGTCTCCTGAATATCCACTGGATAAACAATGAAATGAAGGCAGAAATAAACATGTTCTTTGAAACCAACAAGAATGAAGACACAACATACCAGAATCTCTGGGACACTTTTAAAGCAGTGTCTACAGGGAAATTTATAGCAATAAATGCCCACATGAGAAGCAAGGAAAGAGCTAAAATTGACACCCTATCGTCAGAATTGAAAGAGCTAGAGGAGCAAGATCAAAAAAACTCAAAAATTAGCAGAAGGCAAGAAATTACTAAGATTAGAGAAGAACTGAAGGAGATAGAGACACGAAAAACCCTTCAAAAAATCAATACATCCAGAAGCTGGTTTTTTTGAAAAGATCAACAAAATAGACAGACTGCAAGCCAGATTAATAAAAAAGAAAGCAGAGAAGAATCAAATAAATGCAATAAAAAATGAAAAAGGGGATATCACCACCGACTCCAGAGAAATAAAAACTACCATCACAGATTACTACAAACAACTCTATGAACATAAACCAGTAAACCTGGAAG